TTTCTGTGTGATGTGCTTTGACTCATTTAACCTGCTGAATAACTTAAGTCTGAGGGTAGTTCTATTGGCTTGTTTCATGTATGGGTCCTACAGATGGGCATTATGAGAGTGCAAGGCAGTTTCGAACTTTGTGTAGTATTTTAAATATATTATAAAAAGTTTACAGAGTGGCTTGGGTTTGTGAAACAAAGAGTGAGAGCAATAAGTTGCAATTGATGACACAATTCGTCTTTAAGGTTGAAGTGGACTTTGAATGTTATATTTCCCGTAAGTGATCCTATCAGAGTTGTCAAAGGCGTTCCTCGCAAACATGAGACTGCCTTAAACCTGAAAAATTAAGGAAACAATGCAATATCATGAGTAAAGCTATAGAGCTCATCTCCCGATGAATATTACTACTAGAATGCTTTTACTGATGTTTCTTGTTTTTGGAAGAGATCTGCCAATTATTGATGTATTGCATAGCCTAAAACATTTCTAAATAAGAGTAGTTCTTTTAGTGCATGTTTTTAATTTTTTTTTATTTTTTTATTTTTATTATTATTATTATTATTATTTCTCCAATGTAGGCTATTAATCCCTTGGAACTAGCTATGGAAGCTTTAAAAGTGATCCAGTCAAGGTTCTACACAGATTTTCCTCCCCATCCAAAGGAGAAAGTGTATGGATATGCAACACCGTCAACCATGAAACCAACTCAATGGAATTGTAAGTTTTCTTGAAATAAAATTTTAACCTGTTATATTAACGAATATTTGTTTAATAAACTGTCTTCTTCCTAATTATCATAAATATTGTAGATCCTGGAGGTGGTATCAATCAGATACCAGCTGAGTGTACAGTGTGCGGAGATGTTAGGTTGTATTTCATCTAAATAATTTTTCATAATTTTTTCCACCATTATCATTGACCTCTTAATGTTTTCTTGTTATTATTGCAGGTTGACTCCATTTTATAGGTATGCTATAAACTATAATACTATACTCTTCACTGGTTACCTTATGGGATGTTTGACTTTTCCGCGCAGTCATCTTGATTGTGCTAATATACCTTTTGTTTTCTTACTCCGCAATTTCAATCTTTTACTTCAAGTTTTTAATGAGCACATTCTCTTTTCCAGTGTTAGTAAGGTAATGAAGAAGCTACAAGAATATGTTGAAGAGCTGAATACTAACATAGAGAAGATTGACACCCGAGGACCTGTTTCAAAATATGTTCTGCCAGACGAGGATCTCAGAGGAAGGTATGTTTTTCTCTCCCAACCAATTGGACGGCATCACTTCTTTTAGTACTGTTAGAGATTGATGGATTTGTGCTTCTTTATTTCATTTTTATTTTATTTTATTTTCATACTGCAGTGGACTTTATGCTTGTAGTGTTAGATACCCTTTTTTGTCTTAATTTAAGTAGATTATGGTCGTTAACTAAGGTTAACTTTGGCTGTATAGTGTTGGCAGCTTATACTCGACTCCATGAACTATCATAAGCTTGTGCCCTCCATCTTTTAAAAATGTTGTCCACAACCACAATTCATGTTTTTTAAATCTTTCAACGCTGTTAAAAAATTGAGAAAGTTCAGCATCTCCTAACTGTTATAAGATATTGTTGATTTATTTCGTCTTCGACTCCTCAGATTGACTATTACATTTGATGAAGCAACGTCTGGAGTGGCTTGCAATCTCGAATCTCGTGGCTTCCATGTGTTGTGCAAATCTACTGAAGAGGTGGTTGGGCATGTAAAACCGTACTCTATTACTGGTAGCTTGCCACTCATACGTGAATTACAGGTGAAAACTGTTTTCTCGTATTTCCTGGTTTTCCATAAACCAGAATTTTCACTAATTCGCCTGTTGTAACTATTCGAATGCAGGATGAAGGTTTTGATGTGCAAACTTCTGGTTATGGTAAATCTTCTAATTTTTTACTGTTGTATTCCTTATGATATTGGCCTACCATTACATGAATAACATGCCCATGTATTCTCAACTTACTTCAATAATCTTAATCGAATAAATAATTCAATGTGTTGTATACATTCTGCAGGCTTAATGGCTACATACCATGCCAAGAATGAATATTGCCTTCTATCTGACATGTGCCAAGGCTATGGAGTCTTTGTAAGAATCATTTCCCAGTTGGAAGATTGAATCAAGATCATAGACATGGTGCAAACCTGACAAGGCGAGGTTGGTGTAACCTCTAGCCATGTCATAAAATAATTTCAGTATGGTTTATAATGAATATTTATTCACCTTAGGGTTTAGGATGCCTGAAAATTTGCTATATTTTGTTTTTCCTTTACCCAGTTAAAGAATTTGATGTTTTACTAATCAAATATACCGAGTTTTATGCGGTTTATCAAGGAAATATTTCTTGATTTATTTTTCGTGTCGACATTACGTTGTGCGGCAAAAGCTACGAAAACAGTACTTATAAGCGTTGTTTTACAAATGGGAAATGCTACATTGTCAACTTAGTGTACAACTAGGTTGACAACACAAGTGAAAAACATCCACTCATGTATTTTTTTTGTGTGGATGTTCCACTTTTGTCAACCTAGTTTACAACTCGATTGACAATGTAGCATTTTCCTTTACAAATTGGCATAGGTGGTGGCGCTTGAGCGCCAGGATTAGACTCTTTCCAGCTGTTGTGAAGCCAGTCATGCCTTATTTGGGGGTTTTAAAAATGAAATTATGCATGAAATTTACATTAGTTGTATAATAAAGGATATTGATAAATCATATTAAAATTAATATGATGATTATAAATGCATTAGATTTTGCATAATCTTTGTGTTTAGTTGTATTGATTCCTACATTTGATACAATATGTATGGTGATAAATATAAATAAATTTATTGATTTTTTTATACTTGCCTAGGGGCTAGCCCCTGTCCACATTAGGGCGAGCGCCTAGCAACTAAGACCATCTACAATGGGGTTGCTTAACTGATTGCTTAAAAATAAGCAATTGCTATGTAAGCAATTTCCCATTGTGAAGAGAAGACAAGCAATTGCTTAGGTTAAGCAATTGCTTGAATAAGCAATCCACAAGCAATCAGAATTTGTGGGCCAATGAACCAGAAAATGGCGCAAGACATGAGAGAGAGGATGAGAAATCCAAAATTGCTTCAACCAGAATTTAAGTTGGTAGTTAATTTGTGGGGTATATATGGGACCCGCATGAGTTGTTTAATAAGCAATTCACCATTGTGGGATTGAATTGCTTAAATTATAGAATTGCTTAATGGCACAGGGTCCCACCAAAATAATACTAAAATATTCTAAGCAATTGCTTATTAAGACAACCATTGTACATGGCCTAAGAACACTGCATATAAGCAATTGAACCTCAAGCCAAATGAAAATTGCCATTTTTTGAATTAACTAACTACTACATAAATTTGTCTCACATTTGCAAAATATTTTCTCATATTTTATTTTACAAATCACTCGGCCACTGCATGCTAGAAATTGAGATTCTTCATGAAATTTCAGAGTAGTACAGTATTTGCGCTTTTCAAACTTATATATAAATGATGTATGTATTCACGTTAGCTGCCAATAGTGAAATGACATGTCAGTTGCCACCTTTGCGCAAGAGGCCTCGAAACTTCTATGCGACCAATAGTGAGCTAACCTTATCAACCATTCCAATGACGTGGAAGGAAAAGACATTGGTATATGTGCATGCATGTTTCCATCTATTGAGGATCAAAGTATTAAGCTTACCGCCTCGCAAGTATTAGGGTATTAAGCTCGCCGATCTGTGTGCGATTGGGAAATACCGTCTCGCAATTATAGAGTATGTCGACAAAAAGGCATTTGAAAGGAAAATCGAAAAATTCATTCTCATACCGCCTCACATCGCAATTATAGAGTATGTCAACGAGAAGGCATTTGAAGGTTGCATAGAGAAATTCAAACCGTATATTTACCAAATTATTATGGGTTTAAGTCCTAGCATGTGTGCTAGACTATTTAATTATTTAGTGATTATGCTCTCAGTAAATTTCATAATTAGGCAAAGAAAAAATATCAAATAAATAAATAAAATTTAGATTTTTTTTTTTATTTAATCTCTCCATTTTACATGAATATTTTCAACGGAAATTCCTTTACAAGCATGTGATGCAAATCATTCTACTAGTGTAACATGACTTGGTTACAAGCTAGTGGTGAAGCTGAAAAAAACCTTCTTACAAATCTTTTAAGGTGAGTTTAAGCTAGTGGTGAAGCTGAAAGAAAAAAAAAAAAAAACTTCTTACAAATCTTTTTTATGTCACTCATAAACTAGGATGATGGATTGTACATATGTCAACATAACAAACATACTCTTGAGAGAGTTGAGAATACACTATATGACATACTGAAATTTAATATTTTTCAGCATGTTTCGGCAAAAATTTCGGGATGTACCACAGCACTCGAGAAATTAAGGGCCTTTTGTAGCTTGCGTTGGTCAAATATCTCGACTTCAACCAAAAACATTGAACTCACGGGTCGATGATCTGAAAGCTTTATCTCCGTTCGCTTGTAAAAAAGCTGCTTGATGCCTTTTCCGAACCAAAGTATACGGTCACACCTGCACAAAAGTTTCCATTTTCAATGAATAAATTGAAATAATATGGATGTACCAATAAATCTATGAATGCAGATGAAAGTAACAATTCTTCTTCATGAATGACAAAAAACGTTTTTGCTCTGTAATTTTTTTATTTACCACGCTGGAGATCTCTTTTTTTCTCCTTCTCTTGGATTTTGGCCGACATATCTATCAGAATTGATCTCGTATTTGTAAGTTGGTGCAAAGTTTATGATCCCCTCTTTCCACCCGTCAAACACATGTCCATTCCGAAGTTCTTTGCTCAACTGCACCGTGAATTGATCCCCATATTAGATTATTTCTCGTCTCGATTTTTTCAACATTAACATAAATAAACAAGATAAAAAAGATTTTGGCAGCTACAATCTCTGAAAAATTATTCATGATACCAAACAGCCATAAAATGAAAAAAAAAAAAANATTTAACAAAAAAAAAAAAACTTTGCAATTAGTTTAAACATCATGTACAGGACAAGCCCATAAGCAAGAATAATTAGAAGTCCATTTATAAACCTATTGGTAGCTTTTTACCTTTTACGAGTCCATACCTGATCATTGTTGAGAAGCTCGGCCCACTGTTTTTTATCAACAAGTTTCCTTACGTCCCCATCTAACATATTGATGCGGTAATTCAAATCTCCGAACCAGAATATCTTGCTGTTCAAACAGAAATATTGGGTCTTAAGGACTAATATCGGATGTTCTTGAGATGAACATGAGAAATATTAGAGTAAATGTACTGCTCAAAAGGGTACTACTTTGAATTAGTGCTTATGATAATAATGCCAAAGAGTTGGTATGTTATGAACAAGACTAAATACAAAGCAGGATTAAATTTTATGTCCAACATAAAGCACCAAGTGCAAGTGGTCATGTAAAAAAGCTGACAGTTTTAATTGCACATATTGCACACTTACTCATGGGAAGGGATTGTCTGTGGCTGGTCTATGTCAAAAACGGATGAAAAATGAGTCCGCTTTATTATCTCAAGAACATCCGAGTTACGCCTTTGCTCGGCCCCATACTTCTGACCAGACGTTAAATGGGAACAAACAAAGCACAATCGACTTTGGAAAAGAGACATACTAACAGATACAGATCCCTGAGAAAAAAAAGTCATTCATTACCAACTGATCAAAATTTCTGAACACAAGAACAAATAAAAATTTTGAGAATCAAGATTTCATTATTATAAAAATAAATAAATAAATAAAAAAAATGAGGAAATATTATTACCTTGTTCCCCATATAGCCCATTAACCCGATTCCAACAGGAGAGACTTTCAAGTTATTTATGTGCCTCCTCAACCTTCTCCGAACCCAAACCGACAAATATATCCCGACCATCTGCTTACTCACAATCCGAACATAACTTTGGTGTGACTGCACAATATCATTCGAAAGATCACTTTTGTTGTTTTCGACCTCAAAAGGATATCCCTCTTCTTCTTCTTCTTCTTCTTCTTCTTCTTCTTCTTCTTCTTCTTCTTCTTCTTCTTCTTCTTCCACTTCCTCCCCACCCGAAATTCGATCCAAATCATCTGACACAGAATACAGAGCATCATCAAAGCCATTATTTTCCCGGCCAATGCCAACCAAGCACAAATTTCCCGAGCTACGGTGCATTCTTTTCAAACCCGAACCACCGAGCAAAAAATTCCGAGTGCTGCTGCTCGACTCAATTGTTGCACAGCTGCTTAGTACTCGTCTTAATTTGGCTCTTGAGGAGAGAGACTGAGGTGTCGTATCTAAAGACTGCTCTGGCCAGTCCAATCTGGTATTATCCCAGTCAGCATTATATGTTCTCTGTAGCTGAAAGTTGTTTCGAGCGCTCGTCATTTCCAGCACGGTGGCCTCGTCCACATCAGCCAATACATCAGAAGCCGAGGAAGTTCGGAAGACTGGCGAAGGAGGAGCACTGTAGCTTTTGTGTTTGGTTTCGGGTTCGAATGACTTGTTCAAGGTTTTTCGAATGATGGCTTCCCATTTGGGAATAGGTCTTCGAGTTTCTGCTCCAAGTACATTCCCGGCATTCAGGGGAACTACCTCTTGAAAACTGTGAAGAAGTAGGAAATTGCCGAAATTAAAAAAAAAAAAAAAATTGTAGGCTAAATTGCAACTTTTAGTCCTGCATGTTTAATGACATAGCAATTTTAGTCCCAAGATTCGAACATTTTGTCTTTTAGTCTCGTGATTTATATTTTGCTTCGAGGAAAGGACTGAAATTGCAACAAATTCCCAAATTTAATTATTTTTTTATTAGCAATTTCAGTCTTGTAATTTAATATTTTGCTGCGATTTCAATCCTTTGAGGATTGAAATTGAAGCAGAATATTAAATCACAGGACCAAAAAGGCGAAAATTTTTGCCAAAAAGGCGAATATTGAAATTGCTATGATGTTAAACGAACATGACTAAAAATGCAATTTTTTGCCAAAATTTTATTCTGGAAGAAAGACAAAATGAAGCACCCAGAAACCGGATGCCAGATAGGTAAAGTATCTGGCTAAAAGAAGAAAAAAGGAAGGCAAACTAATGAAAAATTTAAAATGTTTATATTTACACCATCATGTGCATCTTGATATTTACCCTTTGTGATTGTCATCCCATAAAATAGATAAGAAGATGAAGAGTTAGACAAACAGAACATTAACATGACAAATAGAGCGAAAGTTAAGAATGGGTGCTATAACAATCTAAATTGAAGCTTCTCGAATTCTAGCAGAGAATAAAGTTCACCGCTTCAGTAAAAAGCTCGAGTATCTGATAATATTTAAACCTACTTTCTAAGATATCTAGTTCAAACACTTCTACTATAAGAATTAATCAAGTAGATTAACTTATATGATGGTTGAATAGCTATCAATTTTCCAAAAGAACTCAAGATTTTGATGCTATGCTTACCCAATAATGTATATATCCGCTGGCTCTTGCAAGAAGAGCCATTCATCAATATCAAGATCATCATCTGGAAGCCTTCCGGCAACATTCCACGTGCCTATTGTTACCCTGCAGCAAATGAAGCAATATATCAAATGACATTTTACTATTTTTTTTTCTGTTCACCAACAAACTAATCAATTGTAGAGCCAATAGCATATGGGAAAATTAAATCATCACAAAAATTAAAAGATTTTGACTTCTTAGTGAGACACACTTCAAATCTTTTGTATTTATGTACTGAAGCCTCAGAGTTTCTGATTTTCCTCTCCGGTGTTGTATTGAGCAGTCTTTCATTGGATTCCCTGTATCATTCAATTTCATGCATCAAAGTATGCACAGCATAATTTTCTTTTACACATTCAACAATTTGAGATGGTAAACAACAAAAGCGAAAAGAGATTCCAATATTTGAATAAGTCGATATGTAGCATTTCACTCCACAATCTAACTTAAATGGCACTCAGAATTTCCATTATTACTATACCAAAACCTCAGAAGCATCTTCTTCTTTCAGATAAATAAAATTACACATACCAAGCATATCAACTGAAAAATTATAAATTTAAGAAATGCAAAAATGATTGATCAGGTTTAATATACTTGCTACCTGGAGTTTTAATTGAGCAAAATGACTGATATCCCGGAGCATTATCAACAGGATCATCTCGCACAGCTTCATTTTTAATCGAGCAGGCTACATAAAAACAAGAGCAACATTACAAAAAAAAAAAATGTGATCAAGAAACAAGCTTGAGATCATTAGGTGAAAGGGCACCCAAACTAAACCAATCCATACCATCATCTTCGCTCTCTGTATCTACTTCATCTTCGCTAAAATCATAAACCTTTGGCTTGATATTAAGCCATTTTTTCATCACAATGGAAGGCCAAAATGGCTGAGACCAAAAAAGGAAAAAAAAAAAAAGAAAAAGTTAATGGCAAAAAACAAAACATTTAACAACAACTGAAGCATTAGTTCAGGCAATTCATCAAACACTTAGCAAATCTCCACAATCAGACATCATTATTTAGCTACCTCAGAACGTTTTCCTCTTCTTGCTTTCATGCTCCTAAGGATAAAAAATTCACAAAGAATCCTTAAAGACTCGATATTTGCTCCCAGCCGTACACGGACTAGTATTTAACTGCATCGTTTAAGGACACCACAAATCTGGGTTGTGAGTGTCTTGGGCCCATCTCTTCATTTGAGGCCAAATACAAGGAAGATTCGTGCTTGGGCACAAAAACAAGAGGACAGATAAAAAAGAAGAAACAAAATAAAAAAATAAAGCAATGGCCAAGCTAGCAGGCAAGCTTAACAGACATCCACTGATACCAACTTGCACACAAAAGAAATTCTCTATGGTCCTCAAATAACCCATCACTTTCAATCTTGAAAAATAAGGAAAGACTAGATTTTTATGACAGCTCGAGCGTAAACCAACCAGCCCATCATGAAAAAAAAAAGTTGCTAAAGAAAAAAAGATTAGCTTGTCGTTGTCAAAGCTCAAATGGAGCCCCCGCTGAGAGAAAACTAGTATAGAGCTCCGTATCCACAATTTTAAGGTTATTTATCCAGACTTATAATTATATACATACGCGATCCGTGCGAAACAAGGTTATCTCAAAAAAGCCTTCTAAGTCTTTCTCCACGAGTGTAAATTCGTCCATAGAGTTTTGTTGCCTCCTAATTTAAAGGAAATATAAAGTATAGTAAGTGATATGAAATAGAACAAAGAAATAGAACAAAATAGTAATACGAAATAGCATAAAAATAGTAAGAAATGAATAGTCATCGTTATTTAAATAATTTTTTATTTAGTTAATTACTAGTTGAACTAACCCCTTCTTTTTTGGGAAAAAAGGAAGATAGTGCGGAGGCGGGATTTGAACCCGCGAGATATATTTATTTGGAAAATATTATATTATAAGATGCAATATTCAATAAAAGTTTATAATACGTAAGAAAATTGTACAACGTTCCATAAAAGTTTTATAATATTCAAGTGGAGTCTTAAAGTCTCTTGTACATTAAGATTACTGACAAAATAATATTTTAATCAATGAGTTTCCTTTCCTTGTAGCCAAATTGTGAATGTGATTTGAGAAGTACAACAAATCGATATATAGCTGACTTGCTTTTTTCATTGTAGTTTTTTTTTTTTATAATGAATTTAAAGATATTTTAAAATATAGCAAAAATTAATTTTTTTATTACAATTAGGAATTTTACTAAATATAGACTCTCAATCTATGGTGTTCATCAACGTTTAAGTCTAAAAAATTAGAAATTTTTACCTCTTTTAATCAAGTTTAAGTCTAAAAAATAATAGGATTATTATAAGTTTTTTTTACATCTTTTAAAACATTAAATATGAGCATGTTAGGGCTAGCTTGTAAAATAATTAATATATTATCTCACGAAAACATTTATACTAATAAAAATTTAATTTTAGCATACAAATTTATCCCTTGATATAAGAGAAAGTAACAGTTTTACTTATTGTTGTTCACCATATAATATTTAATTATTATTTTATTATATAATAAAAAAAATATTGTTAAATAGTGTAGTAGAATTGTTATAAAATTATATGATTTTTTTTTTACAATATGGATTTAATATTTTTTTATGATTTGATAATATAAACAAATCTATACTTAACTTTGACCAATAAAAAAAATAAATACTTTAGTAAGTATTTAATGTATATACTAAATAGGAATATATTTGGTATAATCAAATACCAAATATAATCAAATAAGTCAAAGTGTTCATTTTTATTTGGTATTTGATTTTTTTATTATTAAAATCTTTTTATTATACTTACCTTTTTAAAATAAAACAAATAAATAAATCAATTAAATAAATAAAAAATTATAATACCAAAATAGTAATGGCATTTAATGCAGTTGACTTTTCTGGATAGTAAATGTAGTAAATAGAATCTCCTTTTATATAAGTATAGATATAATATTATATTATGTTGCTCAAGATAGTAATGCATTTATTGCATTGACTTTTCAACTTACTAAATTTCGTAAATGGTACACCTTATTATATAAGTATAGATCCGACTGGTTTAGTACAAAAATTAATGCGTTGACATCAACAATGGCAGGTAATGTTAAGACTGGTTTTAGATTTTGTATACATTAAATAATGATACTTATGTTCAATTGGTGAGACTCACCGACCAAGAAGCATTTGGTCATTTTGGAACACCATCATCATATATAGTAAGATCTAGAAATATAGACACAATAGTATAAATATGGCTAATTGTATATTGATTATAAAATGAATTATTTGTTATGACTCAACTCAATATTGATCACCTGGTCCTACCGTGGGTAAGAGGGGATTTAGAGTGTGATTGTATATAAGTAATTTTATTTTGAGTAATGTTATAGAACCCATTTAAATAACAATTTGGATTACAATTCAAGTATTAATATATTATTTTTTTATTTTTTGATAATATATTTATACTTGTGTTGTAACTTAAGTTGTCAACCAAGTAGGTTAAATATTTATACGTTTTTTAGTATAAATTTTCAATTAAGATTTATTTATTTACACGGGAAACATATATACTACATGTGGTGAGACGATTTATTTATTTTTTTATTATTTTTAGTTAAGCGTCGCAATCATATTTGTTAGAACATGTGTCAACTTGTCATGTTTCGTAATTTTATCCACCAATTACACGTTGTTTTATAATGTTTTTTTAGTGTTAATTTATGGCGTTTCACTGTTTTGAATTAGTCGTTTTGATGTTTACTTGTAGCGAAAACACCTATTTAACAAAAATTATAGACATCCCCTCTTTTTTAATATAATTTAAAAATGTGCTGAGTCTAAATGACTGCCTCGCACGCTTAGAAAACTTATTTGGCAACATTACATACTTCGGCTTTTGGTTTAGATACATTCTCTAATGGTTTAAAATAAAATACTTAATTTCTTATATATCGTGTAAATCCTCAAACTCCAAAATAAATAGGATTCTTATTTTATTTACATCTTATGATTCTTATCTTATATATCGTGTAAACCAAAAAAAAGAAAAAATAGCTTTAATAACCTTTTTATATAGTTTAAATTAAAAAAAATACTATAATTTTACAAAAAAATATATAGCCATATTAGGATTTTATATTGCATATTAAGATTCTTATCTTATATGTCGTGTAAACCAAAATAAAAAATTTAGCTTTACATATTATTTTATTTATATAATTAATGTAAACAATAACTTTCTTATATAGTTTAAATTAAAAAATACTATAATTTTACAAAAAAATTATAGAAATAAAAATACATATCCACCTTTAAAGAATACATATCCACCTTCAATCCAACCATGGTAAATAATTATTTAAATATTTTTATAATATCTATAAAAAACATTGAAATAGTTATAGAATATTACACGATCTTTCTAATATATTTTAAAGAATTGAAATAAAAATAAAATAAATTTTGATTAACACCATGGTAAATAAATTATTTAAATCTTTTTAAAATATCTATACAAATACATTGAAATAGTTCATGTGTTTTTTCTATTATTTTATGTTTTATATATTTTTTTTTCAAACAACCCGTGTAGTACACGGGTGTCGTACTAGCTAGTATCTTAAAATTTGATAACATATGTGTTTGGTATCACTTTCTCATATATAATATATTAACGTAATTATTTTTTTATGAAAAATGTCTATATTATATATACAATATAAAATAATTATATCCACCTTTATAAATAAAAAATAAATTATCTGTAAGTCCTAATTGAAAAGATTAATAAATTATTTATCAATTAAATACAATTAATATTCAAACCTATTATATAGTGCTGAGTTAAAAAAACGTATAATAACATAGGACAAACTAGTCTGATGGATTATAATTGTCATCATAAATTAAAAAAAAAAATACATTTTTTATATAAAAGATTTTAAAAGAAAATTAAATACTTTTTTTTTTAAAAAAAAAAAAGTAAGAATAATTTTTCAATAACAGCTGTTATATTACTAACTTAGTATAATTTTTTAATAACAGCTGTTATATTACCAACTTATTTTGTTCGATGAGTGATTGTGTTATTCATACAAAATTTTGGTGGCCACATCATAATGGCATTGGCGGATTTAGCCTAAAGTAGAGAAGCATATACTTCGTTCATAGAGGTCCTACAATCTTTATATAAATTGAGATGATAGCTATGCCGAGCTTTTGAGATATAATTTTAATGATTTTTTGTTTTGATTGATGAGATGACAGAAATATTATTAAATTTAATTGAAATTTGCTATTATGTAACTTGCAACGAAAAATTTATGATAAATGGTAAATTTATAATTATTTTTCGCATTTTTTTTTATTTTAGATGATATGTGGAAGTTGTAATTATTCAATTATTAGTTTGTGCTTGATTTACAAAATATAAATAAAATCAAAAAAATGGTGCCTTGAATAAATTATAGGTGGGTACAGACTGATATATTATTATTATTATTGGACCACTTGGTGGTTGGGAGGCATATATATATCCCATTTTTCAAAGGTTAAGATGCACACATATATTTAGTTGATTTCATTTGATATATATTGTATGTATGAGCTAATTAATGAGGATTGCACATTCTAGATTTGTAGTAGCTATGATGAAATATGTGGTAATCATTAGACCAATATATAGTGGGACTTTCACATGTTCAATTTGTGTACTTCAATGGGCAGTTTAGTTTGACTTTGTTACTTAATTAACTTTGACAATGATGTCAAAGTAACACTCCATGTCTAATATCTTTATAATTTGATAAAAATATATAGTGGAGCACATAATATACATTTATGGCCTCCCTCCCATTGCCTACACCCTACAATTATATATTTGTCCTTCAAAAAAAATATTCATTTATTATTCACCGTCACCCCTTTACTAGTCACCGCCCCTCCCCCCCTCCCCCTTTTACTCTTTTGTCATTAACTCTTTTTTTCACTCTATCTCTCTAAACTCTCTAAATTCCCGAACTTTCAACGAGCGATTCGAGCACCGAAAGAAATCCGAAAAAATGTCGAAAAAAATCCTACGACCTCGGCAAAAAATTATAATAATAATTATAAATAAACAATTAAAATAATAATTATAATAATAATATTAATAATTATAACAATTAGAAATTAGAAAAAATTATAATAAATATAATAACAATTAGAAATTATAATAATAACAAGTTGAATAAATTGTAATTAATTATAAATTAAAAAAATAATTATTTGTGTTATTATTATTATTATAATCAATAATAATAATTTGTAATAATAATTATAATTCATTATAATAATTATAATTATAAAT